CCATCTATAATCAGCAGTAGCCAGACACAGCCTGGTTGCATGGACACTGTACCCTGCAACATGATGTCAGGGCTCATTGCATCTTGCAACCTCTTGACATTGCAGCACCTGCTCCTTTTTATCACAGTGGGGCTGTCCTACAGAATCTAGCTCACAAATTTCAGTGACTCCTCCTAGGGCACCTTCTACAGGGATATTAACTTCCTAACGTTGAGAGAGATTTTTGCCTTTGTTTTTCATTCCTCATAGCTTGGTATAAGGAGATACTTGCCCACACTCTTGTTTTGACAGTCGTGATATTCTCAGCATTATCCTCTGCCATAGCCACTCCAGCAGACCATATAATTTTAACAAATACCTAACAGAATCAGGACATTAAAATTGACAATGGTATAATAAAAAAATCCTTCTTTAATAATGAACTGGAACAGCTTCCACCTTGTTTTAGCAGAATAAAAATGAACACTTTACAAAGCTGTTACATAAAATGCATTGTTAAATGAACAACAAATTACTTTCCCTTTTGCTAGCTTTTAATGCTAATGGTGCTATTTATTCCTGACCTTTTGAAATATTAGATTTTTTAAATGACAACATAAAAAGAATTCTTGTTTGAAAACGCAAGTGACTTTAAACCACATGTTATTACTTCTAAGTATAGCATGTGCATGCATCATTCATTTCAATGTCCCATTTATAGCTAATTGGTATATATTTCAGTTGACATATATTGTTCTCTTGCAAACGTGTCAAATTCCTTAACGATGTCAGTGACAAAGCATAGTGCTTGGGATATATAAATTACGCTCTTTACCATATAATCACTCTTATCTATTAGAAATGCTCTTTGTGACAAATCATGTTCAAAATACATACCGGATTGATTTTTTTTTACGTTAGTATCTCACCATTCGCAGCAAATCTTTGATTGAATCTTTAAATGCAGAAATGTTTTGGTTTTACCTGCATCATTTCAGATATGTATTTTACTGCATTTTAAAAACTGACTTTGTTCATCAAAGGAAGAGAAATACAACTCAGATCTCAAAATGTCTCTTTTATTATCAACATTAGAAAACAAATGTGGGAGAACTTTGTTGTGGAATGAGTTATTTGATGACCAATACCTTACACTGTAGTTTAGTTTTTATAATCCCTGCTAGAAATTACTATTATTTTGTTGGTGTGCAGTGTTACTATTAGAATTTCAAATGTTAGAGACAAAATGGCTTAGGTACTTTCATTACATTTTAGATTGTCCTTGTCCTGGGCTGTGCATTCTCTCTCTCATATGCAATAGTACTGTATTTTCAGCTGTCAGGTTTTTTTTGTATCTTGGACTTGAGTAAGCCTGGTGGTATATACCAGATGCTGTAAACTAAGCAACGTAGCTTCTTGTCTGTAATACTAATGAGGGGCTAGTCCTTTGGGAAGCAGTAGCAGTGTTAAGGCAAAATTTTAGTGCAATGGTTTCCTGGCATTCATTAACCCCGATCCTTTCCTTTCCTTTATGCTGTAATTGGCTCCCTTTTAGAAGGGAGCAGAGGAAAGAATAACCTCTAAATCAATCCATGCAGGTTTTCAAACCATCTCCATCACCATGGGAATATGAACGCAGAGGCCGCGATTCAGCAAAACACCTACGCATGTGCTTAATTTCCATTGAAGTTAATTAAACGTAAGCACCTGCTTAAAGTTAAACACATGTGTAAGTGATTCGCGAAGTAGGGGCTTTGTAATTAGAAAACGGTGGATCACATCCTGCGCGATTCCATTCCTACACATGGGACAGGAACAGAGAGGGGAGGAGAAAAGGCAATTTTAAGTGCTGACATTTTTGCTAACGCCCTGTGAGGTTAATAGAGGAACAGGGATGATGATGCAGAAACATGTGTCTCCTGTCCTGTCACCCCACAAAGCCTGAATCCCATGGTACACCTGTGCAAAGGCCTCTGCAGGTGCCAAGGATCAGGGAATGATCCCAGTAGGGAGAATGAAGGGGGAATCATTCCCTGAGCCATGTGGAGCCCAGTCCCCTCCACTGACAGAAGCACAAGGTAGCCGTATTGACACAGAATTAAAAAGCAAGGCTCTTCTAATACATGTAAAACAATTGGCATTTGGGGCCAGCTTCCTTGCTGGCATAAGTTGTCTCAAATCTCTGTTGGCCCCCTGGTTATGCAAACAGTGAATTCCACCGGTGGTTTTCTTGCAAACAATCTTTTTGGTTTTCAGTAACCAGTAAGGGGCCATTTTTAAACCAGAAATATGATATATATGTTATTTGGGGAAACCTCTGATATCTGATATCCTCCTCTTCACATGCTACAGGCAGTCACTCATATAAGTCACAAACCACTTTTTCAAGAATCAAAGAGGCTTCTTCCACAGATTGCAAATGTACTTTCATCATATATTCTAATTCATCAGAAAACAGCTAAGCGACATTGAAGATCTTATTTGACTCTAATTATTCTTGATGTACAGTGATACTCAGTATTGTCTATAGAACATGTCTCTTCTGATTTGCTTCATAAATCAATGCGCTAATCAAGTCCCACCTTTCTAGAACTATTTCTTGAGTGCATCTTAATTTGGCAGTGATTAATTTACTTCTTGAACCTTTTAAAGGTTTTTTTTTAATCACTTTGTTATACTAGATCTTTCTTTAGCCAACCAAAATATTGATAAACATTTGTCCCTGCTATTGCTAGTATTTTATATATTATACTTCTTTCCAAGTCTTACTGGATACCCCCTAAAATGTAATTAATAGCGCTTGCATAAAATTTACTCAACATGTATTTTATTATGAAATTGAATTTAAAACTAATCTAGTTTTAGAAACCAAAAATGCACAAGTCATTTGCTATTTGGCTATTGCTTAGCACTTAAATTAGAAAGCCACACCTTAGAAATTTGCATTTAAACTGTAGGTAAAGCAGGTCTTGAAAATAAAGCTGGTCAAAAATTTTCCATCAACATTTTCTTTAACTGAAAATAGCTTTTTTTTGCGGGGGGGAATGGGTATTTTCTAAAAAAAAGTCCATTTTTATCAAGAATTTTAGGTTTTCATTGAAAACCCCCAAATTGATTTTTTTCAGTTTGTGGGGTTTTGTTTTTTGATAAAAAACTCTCCAAAATCTGAAGGAAATGTTATTTTCTGACCAGCTTCATGTGAAAAATCCTAACTACGGCCTAAATACAAGTTAGTCCCGTCTCATCCCTATACATAAAAACCAACCAGAAAAAACTAAAATATATTGGAAATTATTATATATGTGTAACCCTTCTGCCCGTCTGAGTTGGCAGCAACAAGGGCCGGGTTCAGAATCTAGGGATTCCATTTCAATAACACCATGCAAAACCGGCTTGAGCCCCCACCCAGTGACTGGGACAATTACATACCACCCCCCGGGCGTCTCTAAGAGGCAATACTTCCCCTCTCGCAAGCACGGAGTCTGAGTGTAGCAAAATCCTTTTAATAAAGGAGGGAAACAATGTGGCATTATGTTGGGGAAACACCACAAACAGGATTCATAACACAAACCATGAGCAAAAGACCCACCCCCAAGTAAGTTTGGCAGTGTCCTTTTCCCCTCAGGGTCTTAAGTCCAGCAACCCAAAAAATCATCCAAAAGTCCAACAATCCAAAAGTCCCTGGTCAGTGCAGCCCCAGAGTTCAAAAGTTTATCTGCAGAGTTTTACCTCCCAGCCTGGGCGGAAATGGGGGAGAGGGGTCCAGGGGTGTTAAGGGGCACCTTACGTGGTCCCAGGCCGACTGTCCCACCTCTCCGTGGGGTTCTGCTGCAGTCTTTACCGCGAGCCACTCTGCCAGCTGCTCTGTTCCACTCCACTCCACCAGCTGTCCCATGAGCCGCTCCAGCCGTCCCGCGAACATGCTCTGCTCCGCCAGCCACTCAGCAATATATCTTCAGGGGCCCCCCAAGCACTCAGTGATTTCAGCTCTTAGTAATTTTAGCTCTTTAGTGATTTCAGCTTGTAGTAGGAGAGCCCCAGTGCTGGTGCACCATTGGCCCAAATTGAATTCAGCTCAGCAGCCTGTAACTAGAATACTAATGGAATCAAAATTAGCTCTGATTTTCCACAGTGGAGAGAGAAGGCAGTGCAATTAGTGTTTCAGGCCCTCAAAAGGGGCCCATACCATTAAGTACACATACCTGTCTCTAGCCTCTCTCTCAATTCACTGGGTTTTGGAACCCATGTCCCTTGTCTAGTGAGTGCTACTTAGTTGATGGCGAGTCCCTCTGTCATAAAACAGTTCCACTGCCCTTGATTCACATAATCAGGGTAACAACACTTTATTCTTCCTGCCCCAATAACAGAGAAACTGGGGATCCCACAGCAGCCAAAATGACCATTTGGGCTGCTGTGGGCTCATGCTAGGCGGGGTGGGTGTGCCTATGCAAACAAGATCAGCTCCTGAAGTTCTTTTCCGCAACTCGCCACAATTCACCACCAGATGTCAGGGTAGAGCTCATCCTGACTCTGCTTACATCTGTATCTATGCAATAATACAGTATAAATGAGTGGATATTGCAGAGACAAGCTTATTTAAAATCTGTATCCCAAACAGTCATACAAGTCTCTACTCTGTTAGGAGCTGTGCAGTTATTGCTATGTATATATAGTATTGCAAGATCCTTTTACCTTTAATTCTGTTGATGAAGGGAATAACTATTGACATCAAACCAGTTAAGGAACTGAAGAAAAAGGAAGGAGCCAATCCTGCAAATAAACCACATTGTTTCATGATCTAATGATCTCACACAGACAGTCTTGAATTAAAATTACACATGAGTTTATTAAGAACAAAGCCCAGAATGTTCAACAGTTACTACAGATTTGGGGTGGCTCATTTTGAGGTCAATATTTGAGAGGCTTTAAAAGTTGGGGAGGGGTTGACTTTCAGAAAGTACTGATTACCCCTACTTTAAAGGTCACACAGGTTGGACACCCAAAAATCACCAGTAACTTCTGACAATCTTGGCTCAAATGGATAACATTCTTACAACATAATTATAGCTGAAATTTACCAATATTTGCCACTTACATAGTCTCTTTCAATCACAGGTCTAAAAGTGTTCCAGACATGTATGTATTAATATCATCATTTTACATCTGAGGCAGATGAAACACACAAAAATCCAATACACTTGTCCAAAATGACCCAACAAGGGAGTGGCAGAGTTGAGAATAAGACCTGTGTCTCTTTATTCACAGTTTCTTTATTTACAAGCTGTATTTACTAAAACACAGCATGTAATGCTATGAAGAGAATCCCAAGATGGCTGACACTTGATGATGGATCACTTGATGATTACCTGTTCTGTTCATTCCCTCTGGGGCACATGGCACTGGCCACTGTCAGAAGACAGGATACTGGGCTAGATGGACCTTTGGTTTGACCCAGTATGACCATTCTTATGTCAGAAGTTTTTGGACTTATGAGCTTTCTCTTGATACCTTTACACCACTGGTCCCATGCTGGCCATCACTCGATGCCTTGGGAAGGGGGCAGTGGAGAAGGCAGAGAGGTGCTTGGCTGGTCTGTAGCCCTTCACCATCCTTCCCTTACCTGTCTCCCACACACCTCCTGGTTAATTTGGACAGTGATCTCATGTGATCTCATGTGAAAACTTTGTATCCCTGTGAGGGCACACTCCATTTTAAAGGACAAGAGATGAAGAAGTATCCATTCCCATTGCCAACTCATCCTGCCCCAGTTGGTCAAGCCAACAGTGCCTCTCTCACCTTTGTTTTTCAATTAAAAAGAAAAGGAGTTGAAAGGTCAAGCAAGAATCATCCTCACAGTGCCTCCCACTGAACTGGAATAATGAGCCTGATCCAACATATACTGATAACAATGGGGGTCCTTCCATTGACAATACTGGGCTTTGGATCGAGGTGTCATGAAAGCACATCTCACTATACTTGCCACATATGATGAAACAATGGAGGCAAAAGAGCAGGTCTTGTTCTACTTCCCTGTAGGGTTAGCATCTTTACTCAAGGAAGCATTAGGAGGAGAAAGACCACTTACTATACTGAAGAATAATTCTCTTTTTGACCCACTGAGGAAGAGGTGCCTAATAAAAATATATGATCACGGACAATCTGAACTGTGTGTGAAGATAACTGTCTGATCAGATAATGGAATTGTTTTCAGTGGTAAGAATGAATCCATTACTAATGCAAATAACGCTAATAATTATAATTTGCAATACAGTAAAAGTCACCTAGTCTACCTCCCCCTCTGACAGGAGACTATAATAAATTATAGGCTGAGAAAAAAATCAAAGGGATAAAGGTTAAAAGATTAAAAAAAAGAATTGAAACTTAAATGCTTAACAAGGAAATCAAAGACCTGAAAGCAGAAATTGGAGCTATTAAATTATGCCGTTGTAAAGAATTGGATATTATAGAATTGATTAGCAAATCTAAATCCAAACCTTTCCCGTATAACCCCATTGAGTCACAGATTTTGACACGTTTGACAGAACAAATTGTCAAGGTTCAATACATAATGTGCAAGCTAATTATCTGTAATACAGATATGCCTCCCTTACCAAATGGGGATACCAAAGCCTCGCAAAGGGCAATGGAGTCGAATAAAGCTGGGGAATTTTACCCGTTGCTTTTGCCCCTTCTTTGATCATGTTTCTACAACAGCTCATTTGGCCAACATGGTTCTGAACAGGAAATATACCAACAGATATTTGCAGCACATGCATTGTTATGGTCTAATCTTCTTGGTCTTTCCCAGGCCCTTTATGCATGTCAGGATTTTGAAGGTCTTTTGAAATTCTGATATTACTACTATCATCTTCTCTGGCCATGTAAGAGCTCTTGCATACAGGACCATCGATAGGACCAGTGGGGCAAAAATGATTTCTGGGGATCAGTGCAAAGCATATGGGCAGGGCTGGCTCCAGGCACCAGCTTACCAAGCAGGTGCTTGGGGCGGCCACTTTGGAGAGGGGTGGCACGTCCAGCTGTTCGGCGGCAATTCGGCGGACGGTCCCTCACTCCCGCTCGGAGCGAAGGACCTCCCGCCGAATTGCTGCCGCAGATCGCAATCGCGGCTTTTTTTTTTAACTGCTTGGGGCAGCCAAAACCCTGGAGCTGGCTCTGCATGTGGGACAGGCATGAGGATCCAGCCCACTGATTACACTAGGGAAACTCACCAAAAATGTGTCACTGTTGCTAACAATGGTTCCACTCCACCCGGGTGTTGGCAACGCTGGAAACACTAGTGTAGATAGGCCACCAGCTGTTGACACCATTTTAAAGAATATGCTGATTAGAGCTTAAGCAGAAAAATAGTGACCCTTTGAGGCCTGGAGTTGGGGAGAAATGGGGATGCTTAGAGTTTTTGACAAGAAAGCATATGATTCCCCCCCACATCCATCAACTCTGAATACAATAAGGGTTAAATGATTGGCTCTAACCCAATCTGATGGTGTATTTCCCCCCCCCCCTTTTTCTAAGGTTGTGTTTCCCAAAAGGGTAAAGCAGCGGGAAGAATGTGCCATGGTGGGGAGGAGTGTGGAAGGTATATAAATGAAGATATGTGGGGTTGGTTAAAGGATGTGATTGCTTTCATTTTCCTGAAGCGGGACTCGGCTTCCAAAAGTTTGGGATATGCTGTTTCAAACTACATTTTAAATCCTGTTTGTGTAGCCAAGTGTACCCTGCCCTTTCCAGTGGGTCACTCTGGAAGTTACTGATTCCTTTCGCTCTTTGGCATTTTTCTTTCCAGTGCTTTTCACTTCAGCCCAAAAATTCAATACCCTTATTTCAGTAAAACCGAAGAACTGAATTATATTCAAGTGCTGCCAGCAATTATGCTAGAGAGTATTAGGGGAAATGCTTTAGCAATACTGATCTAGCTGAGTCCATAACTACTGAATCACACTGTGGTTTATAACCATACTTTCATATTTACCTCACACGTGAAATTTATCCAAAACACTGCACGTTTCAGATAACATAGCATTAAGTGTCAAGATCAAGCCTAATGACATGCGCATCTCAGATAGTATTTGAGTAGTTTTTAATCAATTGCCAAAGTCCAAATCACCGCATGTTTCAACTTTTCATGTTACATTTCAAGTTCTTTGGGAGCTTCAACGTGGCATTACGTTTCTTAGTGAGATGTGCACCATAGGATTCCTCCGTGTGCGAGCATACCGAGCAGCTTCTGCACAGGTTTCCAAAGGTTTTCCCAATGACAAGATGTTCATCTGCAAAAAACAAATGCCCACTGTTTAATCCCTGAAGTCCCATGAAATACTGCTGTAGTTGCAGTCAATGGAGGTTGCCTGTGCCTCATTGGTACAAGAGAAAGGAGTGGGGGGCCTGCAAGCTGTTCTCCATTACAGTCCTGAACCTTTGGAACTCACTTCTCCACTTTGTCCGCAACTGATCAAGTTTGCTAGTCTTCAGAAGTTGCTGCAAGGCTTATCTTTTCTACCTGGCTTGTAAGGAAATGGATGAACGGGTGAGGCACGCTAGGGACAGTGTTGGACTTCATGAGGTGGTTAACTCATTTTTGTTATATTTATGTTGCTGGGGGTTATTTTATCTTGACATGATAGGTTTATTTAGATGGGCTTTTAAAGGATTGTCATGGGCTCCCAGAGCATTGAACTTCACTCATATTGGCTACAGTAATAACATTCCAAATCAATAAATAATAAATCAGTGTTGGAGAGCAGCTTGTCAATAGCAAACCATATGTTTTTAAAGGACAGAAATTCTAAATTCTTACGTGGAATATGACCGCTGTATTTTGGCAGCATCCCTTCAGGCCTGTAGAATCTTTGGTATGTGTTGGGAACTTTGCTAACTTTAACTTCAAGCATTTTGCCTCTAAATTAAAACAAAATCGCAGTTCAGTATCCTCTAACTTCCATCATTTCAGAATTTGCTTACATGTCCCCATGTTTTACATAACTATCAGACATCATTTTTAACTCTCATGGCCTTAATTGTCTTCCAACTGTATGTGTTCTGCTCACGAGTCTTTCCCCACATGCCCACAACACTCATGTATTCCTTGCACACCCCAAACACCCATTGCCTTTCCAGGGAGTTTTGCGTGTGCATGGAATATGGGATCCAACTGACATCAACAGAGAGACTGTTATAGCATTGCCACTGCAACCAGACACTCAAATACAAGAATCTTACTTGGAATAATTGGCTGAAATCCTGACTCCACTGAAGTCAATGGTAAAACTCCTTTAGACTTCAGTGGGGTCAGGATTTCATCTATTGGACCCAGTTCTGCTCTCAGCTAAACTCATGCAAGTCCATCAACTTCACTGGGTGCATAGGTATACCTGTGAGGAAAATGGGGTGCATGGGTGAGGCCAGGGCCGGCGCAACCCATTAGGCGACCTAGGGCGCTACAATTTGGGGGGCGGCGGCGGGACCATCCGCCGCCTCTATGGGGGGCAGCATTTCGGGGTGGGACCTTCCGCTGCTTAGGGCGGCAGAAAAGCTTGCGGCGCTCCTGGGTATGGCTGTGTAGGGGGGAGCTGTGAACATAGGTCCCTTATGCTTTCCAACAGATGAATAAGCACTCAGCACACAACATATTAGACTTCCTCACTGTATAGTGCAAAACCTCAATTACAGCCTCAGCAAGTGCTAGCACATGCTCAGTGATGACATATCTGTAGGGTGGCTCTGTGTGTGTGTGTGTGTGTGTGTGTGTGTGTGTGTGTGTGTG